GTCCTACGCTGGAGATGCCTCCGCCGAAGGTGCAATTGTCGGCGGCGCTTACGCCAAAGGCGGTTGAGCCGAAGACGGCTCGCCTGATGTCCCTTGGCCCGAAGGCCCTTCCGCCAAAGGCGCACCTTCCGGCAAACTTCCCGCCGAGGGCGCGTTCCCCGCCTGCTCCCTACTTGCAACTCTGTGGCCCGAAGGCCCTCGCGCCGAAGGCGCATTTTCCGGCGGTCTCACCGCCGAAGTACCTTGCCCCGAAGGCCCTTGGGCCGAAGGCGGATCTTCCGCCGGCTCCTTTCCCTTCCTTCGCTGCACCGAAGGCACACGTGCTAGAGGCCCCCGCCCCGAAGGCGAGTCTCTCCTATCCGTAGGTGGCACACTCATCCGTGCCGCGTGTTGTCGCTCTTGACCCGAAGGTCGTCTTGCTTCTGCCGAAGGCGTCCGTGCCTTCGGCGTAGGGAGGTCTGCTGACCCCTCTGCCGTCTGCGCATTCCCATCCTCCTCCCAGGATGGGGTCTCCTTCTCTCCGGCGGCCCACGCTGTCTCCGCGCTACGTGCAGGCAATACAAGCCGGCGCGCTTTCTGCTTCGGCCGACTGCAAATCTCTTCCAGTGGCCGCTTCCGTTTGAGAGCCGTCGAGTCTCGATGTGGCTCCTTCTCTATTTCCCCCCTCCATCTCCGCTTCCGCGGCACTCGTGCTGCGAATGTGTCTCTCCTCGCATACTGTTGGGCTGGTGGCGTGGAGGTCGGAGTCGATCTCGTTATCCCGCACATACCTCCCGGGATTGCTGAGTGACAGCAGCGGATACTAAATACGCTCAGTCGCTGTCAAGCAACCCATCGACCGATAAAAGTTTATCAAGAAGGGGGAGAGATGATTGATCGATCCCCCCCTCTCCTCAAATGCATGCTGCCGCGTTATCTTATGCAAGATACGCGATCAGTGAACCGGAGCTCCGACCAATGTGAGCTCCACGAAAGACACTTGCCAGGAAGTGATGTATGTTGTTCGGTGCGGCTGCAAGAGTTGCAGAAGTGCCACCGCTACATTTCTGCGGTAGCGATCCTTGTAGTCACGGGTCCTGTACCCGTTCTTGTTGGACTTCTCACTCTTGAACAAGTCCGCGAAGGAGGCGTCTTCCTCCTTCGTCACCTTTACGCTCTCACTATCAAATAGGAGGAACCCGTCCTCGCCTGCACATCTCCCCAGCACTTGTCCCCAATCTTGGACAATCCAACGCTCTACGTGCGGTCGGAATCCGCGTGTAGGCTGGTGTCTTTCCCTTTGCCATTCGCGCACCATGTCTTGGCACACGTAATTCCATCCCCACAGGAGGAAATCGAGCTTCACTGCAAACAGCCGGTCCTGAAAAGCGCGCAACCCAATCTGCGGAAGCTTGAGCGGAATCATCCGCAGTTGAGTGGGCTTCGACATCACGTTCTTGAAATTGGATTTTGTGAACCTTCCTCCACTATGCTCAATCTTCTTGCCCCCAACTTCAATTCTCCTGCAAACTCTAATCTCTCTCGATTCCGACTGTTGCGCACTCAATTCTCTCTCTGTCACCTTGCGAGTCTCTGAGCGGCGGTGTCTCGAATTTCTCTCGGCTAGAAGGTGCACGCGCGCAGCTCGCACAAGAAATTGAAATCGCAAATTCAAGAATGAAGTGTCTGTTCTCCGCTCGCAGGATGTCATGGTCGGCACTTGGTCGTGATTGTCGACTCACTTGATGGCTGCGTAGGCTTGGAGGTGTAACGGCCCTCCTCTCGCACGCGCGGCTTCACGCTCCGCCGTCGCGCGCACTCACACGCTCGAAATTTCAATTTGAGTTCCGCCATCGTACTTCGCCGCGGCCATGGTCGCGCAGCGCCGAAGGCGTCTCTCTTGCCGACGCGCAACCCGCATCCGCTACTCGCATCGCACCGCTACTCGCATCCATCCCGCACCGCCGAAGGCGTTCTGCCGCACGCGCTCCGCCGAAGTCAAACTCCTTCCGCCAAATTCGGATTTCCCGGCGGACTTTCCGCCGAGGACGAACTCCTTCCGCCGAAGGCGTTGACTCCCAGCGCTGAAGATGTCCGTCGAAGTAGGTCCCTCACGTTGTCCGTCGGCGTAGGTGCATCGCCGTAGGCGCAGCGCCGAAGGCGTTGACCGTGGTCAACGGATTTTGTCTCGTCTGTCAATCTCTCTTGTCCCTCCGCAGGCGCTCTCGCCGCCAGAGTTCCGTCCCGCCGAGGGCGCCTCTGTCCATTCCGCCGTAGGCGTTGAGCCGAAGGCGGACCGTACGGATTCGCTACCCCGTAGGTACTAATCTAATCTTGATGCGCTGGCGCCGTAGGCGCCATATGAACTTCATCCCCAAAGGCGGAGTTCAAGGGCCGAAGGCGGATATTCCGCCGATGGCGAAGTGCCTACGCGCAGGCGAATTCCTTCCGCCGAAGGCCGATTTCCCGGCGGACTTCCTGCCGACGACGAACTCCTTCCGCCGAAGGCGTCCGTCTTCGCATCTTCCGACAGTCACAACTCCCTGAATTCTCATCCGTTCCAGGTGTTCTTGGGCTCGTTAGAACGAGCGTGTTGAGCTCTTTCCAACAAGGCCCTAATCAAGTCAAAGCGTTGTGAATTGCATAAGCTCTGAGGGATTTCCCTAGCGCCAAAGGCGTACCGCCGAAGGCGTATTATGCGCCTTGCGCCGAAGGAGAACTCCTTCAGAATTGATCGTTCAGGTCGGGGCACCTGTTCCGGACATTGCGCCCAACTGCTGGAAACTACGAGATGTTGCTTAAAACAAACACTTAATGTTGTGGCTGATCCTGTTTGCTTGATTTTTTCTTTGGAAAAAAAATTGTTCGTCCGCTTGTTTGTTCAATGTTCTCCATGTCAGCCTCAAATTTGTACCTTCAATCCTCTTTTTCTTGCTCTTTTTCTTAGTCTGAACTTAACCCCGCAATTCTTTTTTCCTCATTGATCCGCATTTACAAAGTCTAATTCGTTCACGTATCCAACTATGATATCATCAACTATCCAACTATCCATAAGATTGTTGAAACAGTCTAGTTTTGACATTCCACATTGATACTCAATTAGTTTGCTTAATTAAAATTAGTGATGTGCTTGAAACTTCCACTACTTGCTTTTGCTCATCCTAACTACACTTTTGATTTTCAAGATAACATTTGCCACTACCATTGACATCAACCATTAGAATCTTTGACAAAAATTATTGCAGACAACAAAGTCGCAATTTCAATCTTGTTGTGACCTTCATTCTCACTTGACATTTGATATGATGGCAGCGACAGCAAGAAGGAGAAAAATGTGAAGCTTGCGGTTGAGATTGAAATTAAAAGAAATTTGATAAATCAATCACTCAATCACGTCCAAGAAATTGAAAGAACAATCACCCATTTTAGTTTCATCGTTACAAACTTTTCACAGTTGATAATTTTTGTACACGAAAGGTTCCAATAATAAAATGGACTTCTTCAAATGAAAATTGAGTTGAAATAAGGTAATTCCAAACAATGACATCATTTGTGCAGCACTTGACATCATAAGTGTCTTTGTATGGATAGCTAAAGTACTTGAATCACTGATGCACAAAGCAATTGCTCAGTGATGCATTGTGCATCAATGATTCAAGTACTATAGTGATGAATACTCTGCTGGTACTGATTAGGGAAAGAAATAGTCGGCATTGGATAGGAATTTTGGCCTACATACCTAATTCGAGATGGACGTCTGGAGAGGGCTGGAAGGCTGAAAAACTTTGCTTCTTTGAAAGTTAAATCAAGAGATAGTCTTTGAGAAAACATAGACATAACTTTTTTTTGATAATATCATATTATGCACAAATCTTCAAAATGTGACATTATCAAAAATGTCATAACTTGTTTATATCACACTTTATGGTGAAACGGAGGGTGTGATATTATCGAGGTTAGGGTGTATGTCTTTAAGGTAATACATTTAACCTCTTTCTAGAAATGTAAATCTACTATTGCTTGATTGAATTATATATCATTTTTTTCCTTCTTTGAGTCTCCATTCAGACATTTCATTTCTTAAAAATGATAAAGATGAAATAATTTATGATAAAAATTATATATCACACAAATCCTAACTAATCATCAATAAAGTATTTCATGGTTTAGTTGTTTAGAGTGTGAAAGAGTGGAGGATGGATCTCGCTTGCATGTGACTATAAATTTGATTAAAATTCTAATAAAGTATAAATTTCAAAGCTTAAGGGAATTTGGTGCATTGTTTTAGAACACTATGTTCAATTAATTTTGAACTCTTAGATTTTGTGAAAAATCATGTAAATTGTCACAATAATTGTACATACTAGACGTTAACTCCAGAGCCAGATCGTAGCAATTAATGATTCTCGTCCACAGCTGCTGGTGTCGCATAATGTCAAAACATAACAAGAGCGTGAAAGGCTTATGATATGATGGTTCTTGATCAAGAGAACTCTCGTATTTTGGTTCTGTAAGCAGCCTTCAGTTCTTGCAGTTGGTTCACATAACAAATGTTTTGTCATTCAACAAACGCGTCTAGGCCAGGTTCAATGTCCTCTGGATCCATAAAAAATTTTAGTAAGGATTCCGATCAATCAACTTTCTTCTGCATGTCGTTCCATATCTGGATTGTGTAAGGTGTAGGAGTTACAACAAACGTGAACCTTGTGGCTGTCTTTCTTTCTGAAACAACATTAAGTATATGATAAGCATTCTAAAGCTAAACCATAACCGCGGTTGTATCTTTAACAACAAGAATAGTTTGACATTGCTTCAGGATCTTATCAAACGAGTCCGGAACAGCCAAGAAGGTAATGCTTAAAGCGTTCAAATGTTAGTAAAACGGCTAACAGCTACCTGTGAGACCATTATGTCACAGTCTGACCTTCCAGGTTACTCTTATTGTTTGCTTGGATAAGGTATATATATTACTCCCCTTATGCTGATTAGCTTGAAACCCACAGTGAAGTGAATATTGTGCCAAGACTGATAAAAACTCCAGGAAACATCGCTTAGATTTGATCAGTCATATCACATGTTTGTAAAAAGAATGAATAATCACAGTTGAAGGAAATAAAGAAGTGCGAAGTTCATATAAACTATCTCCGTTGTTGCCTATTTGACGCAGCTATCCCGGGTAGCTTAAAAACTGCTATCTGACGAGAGTCGTGATTTGTGAAAATACTCCTCAATACTGAACAACAATTGGCTCCGCTGACATATCCCAGATTCCTAAAAAACAGCTCTATACTAACTACAAGTTTTGAAGTGATCATTATCCTAAGCTAAGATCAAGTCCTTGGACTTCCTGTACACTTCTGGTTTCGGACAGAAGAGAAGTGAGATAATTATGTACATATGTAAATACTTACAAACTGATATCGAATCGAGGTTCGACAAAATGCAAATCACAAAGGTCTCCCTCGAAGATGGGATCAGCCGAACAATACGACTCCGATTCAAACGGGGAGTGAGATGGCAGCATTGTCCACGAATGATTCATCATGTCAAATAATGCTACATCCCTCCATGAATTTGCTACACAAACATAATTCTTGTTGGCCGCACACAGGAATTGCTTTTGCGAATTGTCTCGGTTGAGTTTCTCCAGTATAAAAATAGGCATCCTTCGTACCTCGATCCATTCATTTTCAAGTGTCATGTCTTCTGAGTCTTGTGAGTATTTCAGTGTCTGTAACTTCCAGACGCAAAAGTCCTGTAAAACCTTGCAACGTCTGTGCTTCACCATCTCCCATTTGACCCTGCCGCCAGCCACCATAATGTCTTCATCCAGATGGAACAGAGTGGCGAAGTGAAGTGGGTACGGCAGCGAAGGCTCATCGTCGTCTCCAACCCAAGTGGGCTCCTGGAGCCAGTTCGTGCTCGAATTGTCCTGTCTGTATGCACGAAACATGTCATGCTCCATTATAGGACCCATACTTCCGAGGCACAAGAATCTTCCTCCACACATCGAAGGATGCTGGAAAAACCTCAGTCGATCCCTCGGCCACCTTGCGATCTGTTCCCATTTACTGCTCCGTATATCGTAGCTGTGAAATGACCACATTCTGCGGTTACTCGATTCAGACTGGATCAGAATCCGGTGAGACTCTGTTTCCTCATTCCAAGCCATTCCCAGCGGCTGACTTCGAGAGAGGTCCTGCATTTCAGGCAACAGAGGGATTCTCTTCCTGGTTCGGGGATCCATGGGATTCAGCACGTATAAGTCAAACTTCCTCCGGTTCCATGGCGGAACAGCTTTCAGTAGCAGAAGGCCATGCGCAGCTCCCATCATGCGAACGTCCCTAGTATTGTAAGACACTCCGTCTTCGTCCGTGAAACTGTAAAACATAGGAGAGATGGACACACCACATACCTGCCACTTGAGAGAGGCAGGGTTGTAAACTGTATTTCCCTTCTTCTTACAGCCCATGAAACAAAGAGGGAGTTGATTGGGATCCCTACCTTCCCACTTTTGCCTAAACTCTTCACTCCTGAAAAACGCGTTCCATTCCACACAAACGGCTCTCAACCTCAGAATACCATCCCAGGGCAGATACGTCAGAATTTTGATGACAATTTCTTCTGACAGTGTCGACCAGATCTTGGGATCCATCTCTCCGAAGCTCAACATTGAGACGAGAATTCAAAACCTTCCACCTGCTTTCTGCCTCAAGCGCCACACTTCCTGTTCTCGACAATCCTGGAGAGCCCTGTGTTCTCTTCGATCTTGACCTGCATTCCCATTGATCGACCTCTACTACTGTCTCAATTTCTCTGCCTTCTTATCTACAAAGGGATATAAACTTGACGAAATTAGCAAACGTTGATATGTTGGTTGGTATCTGCTCAGGATAAATACTCTGCCTCCGCTCTGCTACGAGGAAAATTTTTGAGGAAGCTTTTAGGAATTTACAGGTTCCTAACGTGCAACTGTGCCCCTGCTCAATCGTCACCTCGGCAAAGGGTGGGCAATTTTCAAGGAGGCCTCTTCAGGCTTCGTCTACGAACACACACATTGGTCTACGCACACGAGCGCCCAACGTTCAGTACTCATTTGACAATTATGAAGCAAAATAGAAGAAGACAAAGCAAAACAAAATCCGTCCGCTTAGATAGGAACGACCATTGCCTTCGACAAAAGCGTAGATGCCGGTGACAGAGTAAGCTCTAACGAAAGCCCCAGCGCACATAATTACAATTCCCGGCTTCACCCACCGGACCCGACCTCTCCTCTATAAACTACTGCTAATGACCTCCTCACTACTCCCCACAGTCCTCGACCCTGTCAACCTTAGTTCACCAACGCCCGGCGAATTTCAACTTTTCCTCCCCCGCGTAAAGATTCAGCTGAGAACCCTGTAAATGCAGCTGGGAATGTGAACCCAGCTTCTCTTTCAGTGCAAATCCTGGCGCCGATCCCTTCGCATCTACGGCTGTCCGAGACGGGCCTGGAAAACCCCTCGGGCGCCGATATCGGCCTCAATGGACCTCGTTTCGGCCACCACGCTTACCGCTAGCCCCGAAGTAAAGTGGCACTTTCCTGGACGCGGTAGCCGGTGTTGTTCTTGTGTGTTGGTGATACTACGTTCGGAACGAATGAAGCAAAGGTAGAGATTTGTAAACACGGTTGAGAAGAAGTTGAAGGCAGATACATAACCTTTAACAGAGAGATTGTGGAAGTGAAGGGCGAGAAGCACGAAGATGCACATATACGAAGAGAGCGGAGTTCAGGACTGCATTATAGTTGTTCCATTGAAGGCACACTTCACACTATTGCTTTGGTTGTTTCATCACACCTGATATAAGGCTTATTACTACAGATTACGACTCTACAGGAAGAGGACAAATGCTGGACCAGTGCAGCAAATGGTCCGAAGTTAAGAAGAAAGACCCTCAAGCAAAGAAACCCGACCAGATCACCCGAGGATCCCAGTGACCCATCGGCTGCCCCAGCCCGCCTCTATTCCAATCTGTAAAAATTGGAAATAGGAAATTGAAAAGGTGATTCTTCTCGTAGTGGAAAGCAAGACATCATGAGTGACCATTCGGAAGAGGGTGAGGGGTACAAATAATATAACAAAGATGTTACTTGATGACAATTACTTGATGGATCCCATAGTAAAACAAATAGTTTATTGGGATCCATAAAGTAAAAGACCGCGGCCTTCAAATTTGAAATATGTTACTATTGCATAATATGCTCTTCACCGCCACTCAGTTCAATCAACGAAGCAATAGCCATTTCTACTTATACAAATAATTGACGCACAGCACTATGTACTGAAATCCGCAAGTTAGAGTTCAGTATTTTCACAAGTCATAAAGGAAATATACAAACAAAAACAATCAAACAGAAACATCTTGGATTTGACTGTGTTCAAATAGGAGAATCCTTCAGTTGATGTCTTAAGGGCAACTTAACTTAATTTCACCTTTTGTGAGGCAAACAATCGTTCCAGGTCGTACAATTGCAAAAAATCATAACAGTTCTAAGTTAGTTCCATAAAAGATCAAGGAAAAACCCATTCGCATCATACAAGGTAGCATCAAGTTAGTACCACATTTGAAAGTAGAGCAGTTATATACCTTCATCTATATATGAATCATTTTACTATGTAATGTCCATAACTCAAAATTCCAAAATTTCCTCAAGAGATAATGATTGTGCATTCAAGTATGGATGTTCCATGGAATGTATTTCCAAGATATTCCATCGGCAAATTTTATTAGACTGGGGCTGCATTCCACAAGATTTGCATAACATTCACATTCAACTCTAGATGGGTTGCTGCATCTAGAGCTTTGTACCTTAGCAGCATACACAAAGTGTGAGAGCATAAAACGTTCATGTGAGAGACCACTTTGCCAATGAGACTATATTACTGCTTTCGTTGTCATAAATGGCTGAAAATCAAACTTCAAAGCTATCAACCATACATCACATCACAAGATGGCTAATGCAAAAGGTCCACAAGCAAACAATACTCATAATAACGAAGCTTATTTAACTTCCCGTTTTAACAAAAAAAAAAAAAGGAAATTAGACAATCTCCCCAATGTCACCTCTACAGTACAATTGGTTTTGATGTCAATGTATGAAATAGCTTGAAAATCACCAATCATGTAGTGTAGAAATCTGACAAACTAATAGAATTGAGAATAGTTAATTAAAAATAACAATGAAAATTCCTACCCAAACACTAGGCGTCACTATACTTACAATTTACCTTGCACAATGCAGATAATGCAAGTGTTGCATTCTCTTGATGATGGAAATCAAGGTGTTTAAAATCTTCACGAGATATTTGGCTGCTTTCAATAGAGTTTCTTTGGATCCAAGGTATGAACACTCAATCTCATAAACAAAATACATTGTGTAAAGCCAGCAAGACACAAAGGAGCACCAAGATTGCCGAGCAAAAACAGCTACAATCAAGTTGCTATTAAATTGAAGATGTTCAACTGTCTCCATATAATCTTTTTCATGTGTCGCCTAGCAAATGTTCACAGCCTGCACCGTACTCAACCACATCGGATATGGTTAAACACTCATATAAATATAAATGGTTTTCGTGAGATACATAGTTTTAAAAAGTTCTCTATTCATGATTGCAATATATAGCTGTGGCAGCTGATCTCAAGAGGAAAAAAGATTGAGTAATCCAAATGAATCAAAAAAAATTAGTGAACTGTGCATAATCTTATCATAGATTCTTATAGTAGACATAAGTGCAGATGCATTAGCCCAAAACACGCTTTCAGAGCTGAAGGAAAAAATAGTGAAGTTTTCAGATTTAGAAATTTGTTTATACAAGTTCATTTCTATTCTAGAAAAGACAAATATTTAGTGAATAGATCTCCGTAGCTTACCTTTTGATATTCTCTTTTTGTTTAAGATAGAATCTTCTTGAGATTAGATATATAATCAATAAATCTATTGAGCTTTCCTCTTCAAATTTTTTTTTTGTTAAAGTCATCTCGAGATTGTGTAATGCCAAACACAACAATGCATCTTTATGAAACTTATAAATGTAGTTAAATAATTTTCTTGCAAAATGTGTTTTCCATCTTTGCTTTTCCTATCATCTCGTGTCATGACATCTTTGCATGGCAAAAGCACTCCTTGTTTCAATACTCGTACATGTTGTTTTTTATGACAAAATAACAACTTACTCTTGCCTACTATCCGTGATGGAAACTTTTGCACTGTATTTTTTGTTTTTAGCAACTTGCCCATAGGTTTGGAAATTGACATTGTGCCAAAGATCTACTAAAAAGTCAAAATTGAATTTCCACTGATAAAATTTTGATTCAAAATTTTGAATCCACTGTCCACAGTATGTGAAGCTCACATGTCCACAACACAAGAATAGATGAAGAGACCCTTCACATCCTTGACAATGATTTGGTGCGACATTGAAAAACAACATATATGTACATGTTAAAGACTTGATGACAGGGTTCTAAACAGATTTTCAGTAGAAAATAATGGTAGTGGGCTAAGTATATGATGAAGGATTTTTATCTAGAAAGACAGAAAAATATCTTGTCTCTGTTGTCAAGGATACAATAAAAAAATTTGAGCACTGTAGTCAATTAAACTACATACTCCAACTCTACACGTCTTCAATGTGCGTTTAATATGTACTTCAATGATACCAATGCAATGAAATTTTGTAAACCATAATTTAGCATGAACGCATTTTACACAAAAAATGAAGTTTCTCTCACAGCTTCTCATGGCCACTACTTTAATCGGAAACAGCAAAGTGTTACCCGTTGACACATGTTGAAAAAATTTAAAACTGAACTTGATTTTGCAATTTACTTGAGGTCTTCATAATACATATATCCGATAGAATATTTGTTGATTTCTTATAGGCAGAATGGGCTTTTAGCGTAGTGAAGATTGTGTTTTTGATTTTCAAACATGACCATTGTGCTTTTGATTTGAAAGTCAATATTCAACAAGTTTAAGTTAAATATTGTGAGGATTTGTTTTGGGCTGTATTTTATGCCAGAAAGAAGATATGGTTTAAAGAAGTATTGAAGCATTTGTCATAGAAAGTAAAAAAAGAAATTGTTGCGTAGTATATTAGTAAGATAAATGCGCAACTAGGATTTTTGCACGCATTTTTGCTCCCACGGCTAGGCAAGATGACTTCCAACCTTGGAAAATAGAAAAATTCAAGAATGTTGGAGATACAAGATTACACACCTTTCAAGTTGATTGTTATATTCTGCAATTATCTCTAGAATAAAATCAATGCTCAAAGGTAAAAAACTATGAAAAAAATTTCAATATTGACTTTTCTAGCAGATCTTTGGCACAATGTCAATTGCAAACCTATGGACAATGGCAAGTTGCTAAAGACAGAAAGTACAGGGTAAAAATTTCCACCACGAATAGCCGACAAAACTACGATACTATTTTGTCATAAAAAACAACATGTACGTGTATTGAGACAAGAAGAGCTCTGGCCATCTAGATTATTGAACAACACTAATTATATCTCCAAAAGTAACTTTGTTGTTTGTTTGTTGCAAGTTGGTTTAACTTGGTTTTTTAATGGATGCATTGATAGCTTGCACACTGATGCTCATAGTATTTATACTTGTGGGAGATTTTTTAGCTTGCGAGGCTGAAGTTGTCTCATCCTCTTTGGTGTCAGTTAGTACAACTTTCTTCCTCATAATTAAGGATTTTTTTTATTATTGAGCGATATCAACAAACACGCACAAGAAAGTTGAATTTATTTTTAAATTTATGGAATGTTTCTATCTTCTATCACACTCTGAAAGTGAAGACAACTATCAAATTTCTTAAAGTTGTCCCAATTTTATACATTTGACCTCTTGATGAATTTTTTCGAGACAAATCTAAAATCTTAATTTGGTATTGTTCAACCATCTTCCAATGAAAATAATAATATTGAAAGATTGTTGACGATGAAAGAAGTATCAGAGAGAAGCATTGAGAATTGGAATCATTGTAGATTCATTATGATAGTATGCTTGCAAATTGTCCACATCCTTGTTCATACTCCTCAACTGCAAGTTTCTGCACATAGCATGTATCAAAATTGAGTATTGCATACTTTACTTTGTAGTTTCTAAGCATTCGAGCATTCAATTATTGCAAATGTGCAATATTTTTGATGAGGTGATGTCATAGATTAATAGATTTCAACTGAAAGTAAAATTGATTGTTCTATGACGAATGGTTGAACTCATTTATTCAAAGACTATTCTGATGTTCTTGTAAATATTATCAATATATTTGTCCTTATATCTCTCCTACATCTTAAGGTCATGCCTATAATTTGTCTGCCTTTAGTATATTGAATAGAAAAAAAAACGTCAATATTCCTATCATCAGACAATAGCTTTGTAATAAACACCTGCATCTTGCATATGGTTCTTGCATTTGTGCATATTCACAAAAGCTAAAAGCTTGTAAAACAACATTGATCAATAATAGGAATCATCAATAGGGATTTTCATATCAAACTTACAAGACTTCTGAGCTTCCATCATTTGACAGAGAAATTTTGTTAAGAAGGCTAGATCTTTTGTAGCAAATGGCGCTCCTCTGATTCATTGATGTAAAACTTGACAACAAGAATAGAGAATTGTCTTCATCTCACATCTGTCTATGCATCAATATTTCAAAAGCTACCTTTAAACCTTAGAAGTTGGTT